CCAAACGTATTGATTCAACAGTCGAAATGATAAATAAAGACCTAGAGAGGATTTGCCAGTGGTCAAAACGTAACTCACTCACACTAAATTCTAACAAATCCAAGTTTATAAGTGCTAGGCTCAAGGCTGCAGGTTTCGAGAATGGCTACGAGAGAACCTCAATTAACTACTCACGGTGAAGCAATAGCTGGTGGTCCGTGAAGTGCGCAATCTAGGTCTCATAATGTACTCAGGGCTGCGTTTTGAATCTCATATAGCAGAAGTTGCTCGTAACAGTTTTTATCGCCTAAAAGTTTTATATAAGATGCGAGATTATCTCAGCGCAGATTTACGGTTGAAATTGGTGGAATCCTTGATTTTGTCTAAATTTAACTATGCAGATACAGTTTATGGTTCTCGTCTTCTGTGTAAAACTAAAGCATTAATACAGCGAGTTCAAAACGCATGCCTAAGATTTTGTTACCAAATACCTCCTAGAAATCATGTATCGCCATTTTTAAATAAAAATAAACTATTAAATATGTCTTCACGTCGGTATATATATTTTGCCACTCTACTCTTTGGTATAATAAAATGTAAAAAACCATATTACCTATATAAAAGTTTAACATGGTCTTCGCAATTGCGTCTTGGTCGACTAATTGTCCAGTGCCACAGAACTGCAGCATTTCAAGGTAGCTTTAAGTATTCTGTTATTCTTTTTAGTTTTTGTCAAATAGGCATAGCCATCTACCTCTTCTCAGGATCCAGCTGAAAATCAGCGCTGTGGCTCTGCCCAGCATTAAGCATTAATTATGTACTTAGTAATATATTTTTTGTTTTTTTTAGTGATTTATTCTTTAATTTAAATTTAGATTATTATTATTATTATTATTATTATTTGTATATTTTATTTGTAATAGCCGAATAAATGTTTATTTCTTTCTTTCGTTCCTTCTATATGACTAAAATTTTGAATTTTTATAGACTGTTCAACTAATAAGTGCAAATTAAAAAAATATAATAAATAAATAATGTTTTTTTTATTTTCATTTATTTAACATGTGCCACACAACGTCATGAAAATATTAATTTGTCTTCTCAAACTAAACGCGTAAACTTGCGGTCTCACAGACCGCACGCGACTGGTTATGTTCGGCGCAAGGGTGCGACCACCGGAAGGTCAAAGGAACACCGTTGAATTACAAAATTTATTAAAAAAAGAAACAAACTTGAAAGTAACAACATAATATACCGGTATTTGCAACTAATTTATTAAATCACCAATGAAATGTGATTAATTTTCTTGTAATCGAATCTCAATCCTTTGATAAGTTTGCTGTTCGTAGATTTTCTTATCTTATTTTATAATGAGTATTGGTTTCCTTGCTGAATCCGCCTTAAATCGGACCAGACTTACTTCGGTACTCTTCTTTCCTTCAATAAAACTCCGTATAACGTGTATGTTACTAAGACAGAGAGAAAAAGAGACTGTATACATACTCACAAAAACTTTTTTGAACAGCTTATCTCTATGTCCATCTGACTTACAAGTTGAATTTTATTTTGAAGGATACTACAGTTGGCCGCTGAGGGCGTTGACTGCGCAACCAGAAGAAAAGGGGGCGAGCTGAAGGCCCGTAACCCGTAAAATAAATTTAAAGCTAAGTAGCGGGCCTGAGAGCGCCCAAGTGAGCACGACCTCGCCGGTGAGGACGGTTGGTGCGTGTGGAGATGGAGGACTGGTGTGCGATCTGGTCGGACTTCAAAGTGGCGAGAGTGATAGAGTCGTCAGGGTCGTTCAGGACTTTCCTTGGCGGAAGGGTCCTACGTACGCGGTAGGGGTGTTCCCTGAGGATGTTCCGTAGTTAAATGCAGCCATCTCCAGGGGGTTGAGGTGGTGAGGAGCAGAGTCGCAGTATTTTTTCGATGCCTGTTTCATGAATTGGGCAATTGTGGGGAGCCGTAAATCTATATGGAGGTTGGCGTTGGCAAAGATTTTTTAACGAGATTTACTGACTGATACTTCGGGATATCGCTAGTGTACAGGGAGAATAGGAGGGGCGAGAGTACAGAGCCTTGTGGGACTCCAGCTCTTACGGGGGGTAACCTATCAAAGAAGAAGAAGAAGAAGAAGAAGAAGAAGAAGAAGATAGGTTTAAAAGAAAAAACAATTTTCCTCTCAAAATTAATTTCGAGGTTATACAATTTTGACCAAACGTTATTTCTGGAAAATGTCATTTAGGACTACTTACTTGATCGTCGATGCGCGTGATATTTGATACCTGTCACTTTTCTAATCAGTAATAGGTACCTTTTTTATTGTTTACATTATGGGCGGAGATAAGACACGTATAATATAAACGCTTGAAACTCAAGAACCTATTAAGCTACCGTAAAAAGAATAACATAGGCGATAAGAGCACTTAAGTAGCTTTTGTTTAGACTACAGCTATGATTGTAATACGACAACTTAATTTGTTAATTTCTGGGTACACTGAACACTTCTGAGAAATTTTCATAGCATTTTACGCTTTAACTTCTAACTACCTTGTATATTCACTGTATTAAGAAACGAAACATATATAAAGATGACAAGCATTTAAATACCTATCGATTAACACTAGATTCATATGAAAATAATGTGTAACTATTTTTAAAATAAATTAATACCAGTCGCGGGTAGCGACGAAAATCGCGAAAATTTGCGAAAATGGCGTCAAAAAACTATAACTCGCGAGGAAAAAAATTGACGAATCCTATCACAACTCACAATATAACGACCTAAAAAAGGTTTTAATACAACCTCTATTGAATAAAGTTATGTGTTTATGTGATATTTTTCTGTTATAGGGACGCATCATGAATATTTGTTTTTTTATACTGGGATATCGAGTATTTAACAGTGAAATACTTACTAGTAAAAATTTGGTGTTAATCATTGACTTACAAATAAATGGACGACGGGTCTAATACAAAAACCACGAAAAAAATGTCCCAAGTCAACCTATTCGAAATTTAAATTGTAATGTCATCGCAGTATCGCGCTGTCAGTAGAACAAATGAAGACTAAAGCGGAGTGTCGCGCTCTGTATACGATTTTAGCGCCTTACAAGTGCGGACACTTTTTAGCGCGGACCCGACGTCCATATAATTGTAAGTCAATGGTGTTAATACATGTGATAACACCAAAGTTATTTGTAAAACAGTTCACCAATCGGGTACTGTAATGTACTGGTAACAATAGTTACCGGTGACGTTTGACCGAAAGTGAACATTTTGACAGTTACTGGTAGCTATAGCTACCAATAACTGTTCAGTGGTATATATACTGATAGGTAACCGGGGCGATTGAAACCTTCGGAGATATGTTCCACTATCCGGTGCACTTGCTAGACGCATAAGTGCCTAGCTCTAAAGCCAAACTGTTCGTTGGGGAGGAGATTGTGGGACATGACTTAGTGTCTGAGGCGGGCGTAGAGGATGCGCTCATAGAGTTTGCCCATGGTGTTAAACAGGGAGATGGGATGGTAATTGGAGGGTTCAGATGGAGGTTTCCCGGGCTTGTGAATCCTCTTTCCACTTTTGCGGAAAAATGCAGTTGGTCAGAGCGGCGTTAAAAATTGCAGTCAGGAGACAGATGAGGGGTGCAGGAAGCTGTTTAAGCACCTTTACAAATTCGAAGTGGAAAAATTTAACAACTTATATATACGATACGGCGTCTCCCACACCGCCCTATCAATGCGCAGCGGAATCCGCCCGGCCAATCAGAGCCCCTGAATTATTTACGTAATTCTACACATATTGCTCTGACCGGTCAGATGCGTACCGCCGTCCGTAACAATAAGTATTCGAAATAAATACTCCACAATTCGCAATCCACATACCGTCGTTATTACCTAGCAATATTTCTTTCTTTGTTGGATAAATAATAAAGTAACATTAAAAACTTTACTATCTACCCATAAGCTTCATAGATTTTGCAAAGTCGCCGAAAGCCTCCAATAGTACTTTTATGGCACTATAAAACAGACTCTGTATTCTTTCTTGGTGCGGAAAATTTTCTGAACACTAAGTTTTCATATTTAATTTTAAAGGAAGCTTTAGTATTCATTTATTTATAAAAAATATCTCTTGAATGTTATAAGACAATTGGAAAATGCGAGATTAATATCCTTTGAAAACAATAAAGTTCATAATAAATTATAGAAACAAGGAAGTTGTTCGCGGAGTAAAATGCAAATTAATGCTAACAAATACAAATCTTTCTCGTCAAATATAAAATATAATTATAATAAAAGTTAAGAGAGTAGCTTTAAATCGGCATTACTTTCCTAAATCTTTTATGTAAAAACCACCAAACCACTTCAGGAGGATCACAGACCGGTGGCAAACTACAGCACATTCATCTATCTATATGTTGTCTGATATCCCCTTTAATGAAAAAGTTCAACTTCGTTTAGACTCAAGATCCCAAAGTGGTTTATATGGTAACCTATCACAAAGTCGAAAATTTTTTTGTCCGAAATAACGATTGTTCGAATTTTCATTACACCGAAAACCGAATTATAACGAAACAGTTGTTCTTTCAGGATATGTTGAATGTTTATCACAACGACACGATTAGGTTAGGTTAAGTAAGGTTTAAAAGATTTCGATCAAACGTTATTTCTGAATGTCATTTCGGACTACTGACAGGTAACCGGTTTATTCGGACCCCGAGAGGTCTATGGGATGATTCAATGGGACCATTATAAGTAAAAAATTTAAAAAATTTTTTTTTAATATCTAGTGACGGGACGAACAAGTCGTGTGCCCGATGGTAAGCTACACACCTGTCCATTATATGTAGTTGCAGTGCCATTCAGAGCTTTAATTCGCAAAGATCTGAGGGGCACTGCTAATGCGCCCGTCACCCTGAGACATAAATTGATAAGTCTCATGTGCCTGTAATTTCACCAGCACCCTTACCCTTCAAAATTAGAACGAAGACAATAATTAAAAACAATAATTAAACTTACCCAACCAAAGTCTTTTGGCAATATGTGGCGGAAATATTAAATGCAGTAGACTGACGTTTTTCTCCCTTTCTTTGTCCACAGCTTTACTTGCTTCTTCAATGGAATTCTTCAACTTGTCCATTCTTCTTCGGAGGCCATCCTAAAAATATTCAAGTATTTAAGTAACTGTAACTAAAGCCAGGGCTCCATCTTTCGCTTGAGCTTACGTGCTAAATACTTAACACGTCACCATCACCAAAACTTCATTTACATTACAATCCCAGCATTCGGTTCCGCACAACTGCACGACGGCGGGCAACGTTATTTTCACCTCTCTGAGCGCGTGCTTAAGTTTCTTTTTCCTCATAGTGAGCGCCTGGTGTCATCAGCAGATTTAGAAGGCTATCATAGTGTAGGTATTTTGGATTTTTTTTGAGAGTGATGTAGCTGTTGCGTAATAACTATTAAGTAATCTGTGATAAACGCCAAGATCTAGCAGACATAGCCAATCAGAAAGAAATATCCTGCCTCCGCGGCCGAACGGTTACCATGCCGGACTGCCACGCAGAGGTCACAGGTTCGGTTCCCGGGCTGGGACAAATATTTGTACAGCCTACATGTATTTCTCTCGCGAGTTTGGGTGTAATTTGTGCTTCTCTATGTGTGTGTGTGTCCATGGCACCTGCGACACAAGGTTTTCCCTAGTGCGGGGCAAAGTTGAGTGTGTGATCATTGTTAAAAAAAAATCGTCCTGCTTAAGGCGTCCGTGTATTTCTGTAAACCTTTACTAAGCAATATTTAAACGTTTAATATACCTTATTAGTTTATTTTGTTAATACGTGGGAAAAAAGCATAATTGTATACATACTGCTGCTGTTCTAAAAAAA